GGACCTCTAGAGATCATCTAGTCCAACCCCCCTGCACACGCAGGGTCACCTAGAGCACGTGGCACAGGACTGCGTCCAAGCGGGTTTTGAAGATCTCCAGAGAAGGAGACTCCACAACCTCTCTGGGCAGCCTGGGTCCTGAGCTAAGGGCTACATAAGAGGAACACACTGAGGAAGACCATGCAAAACATGACATGCTTTGCTTCCTTGTAGTGCTGTTCCATAGCACAGCTTTTATCTTAAGAAAAATTAAAAACACTAGTTTCATGCTGTGATTTTGAGCATAAAATGGGAAACTTGCAGTAAGGCAGGGCAGTCATTGCAGAGGAAGTCGACACTCTCCACGTTCAGTTTTGTGCTGTATATGAGCTTGAGTGAATAATTATTTTCAACTGTATTTTAAATCAGATTAATTTTCAGCTAATTACTGCTGTGCTTAGAACTGAACGTAAACTTCATAAATGTAGCACTCATTCTTCACTGCAGACTGAAAAATAGGAAGCAGTCCCATTATTTGCTGCCTCAAGGAGATGCTTATGGCTGACTTGCCAGGTCGTAAGGGACCCTCCTGAGAAAATATTTTAGATAACTGAACAAACTTGCTACGCTTGCTGTTCCAGCAAGGCTTTGCTGTGAAACAAAGAATGATTTTTTTTTCTTTTGCTGCCAAGACAAAAAAAAAGAAGTGTAGTTTTAAAAATCAATTGACCAGTTTAAGTAACCTAGATCTGGAAAGTGGAGATGATACCTACAACATCTGTATAGTTTAAGTTTTTAATTTGTGAGTTAACATTGTCTGTGAGATGCATAGACTTACATGGGCATCAACTGGGTAATTTAAAGTAGCTTTTTGTTCTCAAGATGGAGATTTCTAAGAGAAGTGATGTGATCAGGTAAGTGTTTAGTCCAGGTCTAAAATGGAAAGGCGCATGGAAACCCCCAAGCAAATGGGGTGATGAAACTGAATGTGTGTGTGAACTGCTTTTTTATTTTCAATTAAATCAGATGAGTTTTTTGATAAGGAAGTAGGAAACCCCACATATGATTTCTATGATAGCGATATGCCTAAATCGTTATTTTGAAGTATTATGGTATCTGCAAAATACCAAACTTAAAAGAGGAACTATGAAAGTATTCTTGAACTACTAGTATCATTGTGCTTATTCTGGAGAAACGTTCTGCTTTTGGATTTGTGAACGAGATCATTTGTCAGAGAGGAAAACATCGTCACCTCATTTGGGAAACTAGTTCTAAACCTTTCACTGGGTCACTTTATTTTGCAATTTTTTTTTATCTATCTCATATTTTTTTACCCACTTAGAGTATGTTTAGAGACTTGTACAGAGCCTTTTCCATAGACAACCCAAAGCTGGTGACTAAGAAACAGAAGTTGGCTGATAGTGCTTAAATATCTGATTTTCCCTTTAACTCAAAGGAAAGGACAAGGGAGACCCACTAAAGACTCCAAAGGGAAGTAAATAATAAAGGTGTTGGTGGCAGGTAGGAAAAGATGCATTTCTGCAGGAGGGTTACAGAAAAATTTACCCCAATTTTGAAGCCTTAAAAACATAATCAGCTTCTCCTTTAATATAAAGATTCTATGGTTAAGAAACTAGTATATGTGGATCCTGTATCCTGCAAAATACAGGAATGATGCTATTTGTCTGTGTCACTAATATTTCAAGCGCTAAATTAATCTAGGGCTACAGAAAATAAAAGTCTTTGGAAAAAAAAGGGACATGTCCCGTTTAGTTTTGGAGCTGAATGAAACACTTTCATGAGCTGAGTGTGTGAATATTTTTATATTTTTTTATCTTACTATACCTGATATCTTGGAAAGCAGTCCCGTTCTGTTTACGGTGATGGTGGAGAATATCTGTATGAGAATTTTCACTAACTGTTTGTATGTGTGAATAATGCTGGATTTGGGGGGGGTGGGGCAGGGCAGGAAACTATGGGTCAAAACACTTTAACATTTTTTTTTCCCTGCTCTCTTCATAAAGACGCATGGAGGTGATTAATTTACTACGAGAAACTGGAGCTCACCTTTCAAGCCATGACTTGGAGAACACTGGAACAATACTCTGCAGGTAGATGCACTAATAAGTTATTGGTCATAGAATTGGGATGGAGGAGAACAATATATATATATACTTTTTTTTTTTCCCCCTCAAAAGAACTTCTTAGAATGGAAAACTGTAAATAACTGCCAAGGATGGGTCCCTGGCATGTGATCTGTGGCTGTTTCTGTGCTAGACTAATAATGAGGAAGCAAATGAAGTGATAAAGTTAAGCCCCATCTCTGTGCCAGAGCAGCGGTGAGTCGGGAGAGCTCCAGAGCAGGGACTATTGCGGACACGAGGGAGCTGGGAGCAAATACCCATTTTTTCCCAAGCATTTTCACTGGAGAGAGGGAGGCCGCCAGCAAGGCCTGTTTTAGTAACATCTCTATTTGAGAATAAAGCAGGACATACATCATAATTTTTATGGAATTTATTAAAATAAAAATCCTTTTTTTCTCTCAAAAATAACTAAATTAAATGCACAATAAGTTTAATCTGGAACCTTTGAACAAATACTCCCCATTTCTATGTTTAATCTTAAGAGAATATAGTCCTCTATCAAAGCTAATTTTCCATACAGTTACTCTTAGATAAGGTGTTTTAAAGTTTGACGACTCTGAATTTGTCAGCAGGGCAATACAGCAGCTTCTATAGATTTTTTGAATGATAAAGCTGCTTGCTTTCTGATAACTTCACCTTGCTATATTTAGCTAATTTGTTTTTATCCTTCCATAAAGTTCTCTGTGAATAGCAGCCGTAGACACTTTTTGTTGTTGTTTGTTTGATGCTTACTAAAATCAAATAAACTAACTTTTTTGAATACATACAGTTCTTTTCTGTTGTTCTAATACTGTCTCCTCAGCTTCCTTGTGTTTAAACTCGTGATGTTGGGGATGAATTAAAAATCAATGTGCTTCTGTGGTAGTGGTGATTTTTGACAGGGAAAATAGTATCATCCAGCATTGGCCAACTGGACAGTATCAGCAAGCATTCCTGTGTAGGATGCGGAGATGTACATCCATGCAGTCAAGATCGTCTAGTTATTAACTCTTTATGGTTTCACTTGCTGTGTTTTTGGAATTGGGAGGTGTTCGTCTGTGTTTTTAGAATCACGTTGTAGGCATTTGGTTCATGGCTTTATTTTGAACTGAAAAATCTTAATATCAGTAATCTGTTAAATGTCAGAATCTTTTCTTATTGCAGTAATTGGTGATATCTTCCTGCAGAACCAAGTCACCAATAGACAAATAGGGAAATTCAGACTTATTCTAAAGGCGTTATTCTAAAAGGGTATCAAGTTTGAGTAGACTAAGTTGATTTCTGTGGTTTTTATAATTTCTGTGATTTTTATAATATATACTGAGGTTACTGCTTTTTCCTGGTAAGACAATGATGACCTTGCTGCTTAGAGGCTGCACTTGCAGTTAGAATTGCTGGATTGCACTGTAGTTAGAGCTGCCACAGTTAGATCTGAATAGTGTCTTGGAGAAAGATGCAGAGCAAAACTCCCTGTAGTGTCTGTTGAAAAATCCTGGGTATTACTTGAGTATATGCAGTTCACTAATAGTGTGTGGAGGAAATACAAATGCATCTTGCTTGGTGAAGGAGTTGCAGAATTGGAGAAAATGTTTTGTAGTGTTCTTGATTATAATCAACTTAATGAGCAGAAGGTATCTTTAGATTTAGAGTTAATTCTAAATGTTCTTGCAAGCTACTGCTTTTCTTTCTTGTTTGTTTTTGTTGTTTTTGATCCCTGGGCACAATCCCTGTGGAATATTTCTAACATGATCTAAACAGGCTTGCTGTAAAATTGAAGGTATTTCCGTGTATTTGCATTGCTCTAATAACATGGAAGGAGACCACTTTGCAGTGGAGCTCTGGCAATACAAGTTAAATTGCTCCTTCCGAATTCAGAAATTGATCGCTGGTAGGTGGTTAATTCTGGAGCAGGTGCAGTAGTCCCTGCGTGTGCTCCTGGTGACACGAGCGGTGCTGCCCCACGCGTGTCGGTGATGCTTGGGAACGGGCTGGTCTTTGCCCAGAGTGGCTTCCACGTGGCACGTGGCTGAACGGTGAGGATCTGTCTGGCACTACAGGGCTTTCCTGTCCGGTTTGAGACGCTCTCAACTCGTGCTTGCTAGACCTTTCGCTTGTTTGCTCCTTTATTCATTTTAGGCCATTCCTGTTGGCAGCAGTAGAGTTATATCTGTAAATAAAAAGAATTCTTGTCCTACAGAAGTGACTGCTAAGCAGTTTCTTCTCTGCTTTCCTAATGCTTACTCTTTTTCCTGCAGTTTCC